CGTTTGCCCCTTCCCTGCTGGGAGCTTGGCTTGCTGTCCTGTGATAGCGGCACTCCTGTGGGTATCATGAGTGCATTTGGTGTGTTGGGTTCGTGGAGACGGGTCCTGGCGACCAGTGAGATCTCCGTGCCCTGGAGTGATTTCGAAACACTCCTTTGCTGGGCTACACAGCGGGGATTCTTTTCCGACCCTACGGAGGCGTTCTCTGAGGCGGCGTGGTCTTGCGTGAATGACCACCTCGTGCAGGAGATGATGGCTGGTGGTCCTGCCAGCGTGAAATTGATGTGGCACACATTGCAGGATGTTGCTCGGGCTGCATGGGGGTCTGAACCTTGCAGCTCTGCAGGTTCCCGGAAGGACCTGTCCGTCTCGGATGGGGATGAAAGGGAATCTGAGCTTTTGAGCGACGCAGAAGCTTCCTCCGCTTCCCGGCGGGGGGAGCTGGAGGATGATTCCGCCTCCGAGGGTGGTGGTTGGTCCTCGGAGGAGGATCGGTCTCTCACCCCTCGGTTCCAGAGTGGTCAGCCGGGGGGCGGAGTCCCGCGGGTTTCTGGGGGTCCCGGGGAGGCAGCTCGGCTGACTCGCCCTGCCCCGAACCGCGGTGTGGAGGGGCAGCCGTCGTCCCCCTGTGCCTTCCCGGCGCTCGGGGGCGATGAGGGGCCCCTGGATCAGTGCCCGGTTTTGTTCGGGTCTGATTTGGTGACAACGCTCTGTTCGCATTGTGGTAAGTCCACAACATATTCCCTGCGGCCGGCGGAAGCGGGTTCGCCCGCTTCAGATTCGGGCCCGTCCCGCGGGGGGACAGTCTCTCCTGTTTCTGAGCCTGAGCAGCCCGCCGGGCATGCGCAGGCGGTGGAGGCTGCCGGAGGCGGGGCGTTGGTCGGTGCTCGATCTCGTCCCATCATGGTGGGCGGCATGCCTGCCTCGCTGTGTACAGCGGAGGCGGAGTCGGCTGCGGCCTCCCGTGAGATGGGGCGGGTGCTGCTAGGGGCTGTGCCAACCTCCCTTGTGCCGCCCCGCGCTGACGTGGCTCCGCGAGCCGCATCTCTCCCTGTGTCCCGCCCCTCCCCTGCGCGGGAGACGGGTGGCTCCGCGTCGGGTTGGCGGTCTGTGCCGGCGCCTGCGTCCACTGCGGCGCCCTCTGCCGGTGCCGAGGCGGACGGCGCTGCCGGGGGAGCAGCTGGTTCGGCCCCGCAGTCCCCGTCTTCTGCGGGGGCTGCGGCGCGCCAGGGCGCTGGGGTGTTCACCTTTAGCGCGACTGCTGACGCGGCCAGCGGGAAACCGGTGTTCTCCCGGGGTCGCAGGTCCTCCCTGCCGGGTGTGTGGACTCTTCCCCCGTGCCAGGTGACCGTGCGTCCGAAGGATCCCAGGCGATTCTGGGGGGAAGTCGGAGCTACGGCTGATGAGATGCGTGAGCCTGTCTCCTCGCAGCGTCTGCAGGATCACGGAGGGGGCTCCTCTGGCTCTGCTGGTGCTGCGGGGGATGCGGGGTCGAGTGCTGTCGCAGTGCCTCGCAGTCAGGCAGCTGCTCTTGTTCCCGTGGGGCCCACGGGACGGGATACGGCAGGTATTGCGGCCTTGCCAGAAGGCCCCCAGGCTTTTCCTGTGATCAGGGGCCTTGCTCATAACACTTATGAGCCTCTGCCCTTCAAGACAAAGACAAAACTCCGTGAGACGGTTGCTCGACATGGTCTGGGCTCTTCTGAAGTCATGCACATGCTTCGCATGATTTCTCCTGAGGTGCGCACGCCTGCCGATGTCCGTGACGTTGCGCGTGCTCTTTTTGATCCCGTGCAATTTGGCGTCTTTGAGACCAAGTGGGCTCGCTTGGCAGCCACTACAGCACAGCATAATGCTACACTGGGGCCGCAGGATCCCAGGAGAGTGGCTGACGTTGACATGCTGATGGGTACAGGCAATTACACTGAGCCTCAGGGACAGGCTGGTTTCTCTCCCTCCGTGCTTGAGCAGTGTCAAGCACTAGGCATGTCGGCAGTGATTCAGACCGTAGAAATGGCTGCTCCACGGCAACCATTTGCAACCATTGTCCAGAAGGCTGATGAGCCTTTCATGACATTCGTGGGGAGGCTGACTGCCTCGGTGGAGAGGCAACTGACAAATCCGCTGACACGAGAGGCTGTGATTGCGGACCTAGCGAGGAGCAACTGTACGGCAGACTGTAAGAGAGTCATAGACGCTCTTCCTGGTGGGGCTACTGTCTCGCAAATGACAGAGGCCTGTTCGGTCATAGGTCCCCCTGTTTTTGCAACCATTGTCCAGAAGGCTGATGAGCCTTTCATGACATTCGTGGGGAGGCTGACTGCCTCGGTGGAGAGGCAACTGACAAATCCGCTGACACGAGAGGCTGTGATTGCGGACCTAGCGAGGAGCAACTGTACGGCAGACTGTAAGAGAGTCATAGACGCTCTTCCTGGTGGGGCTACTGTCTCGCAAATGACAGAGGCCTGTTCGGTCATAGGTCCCCCTGTTCAGAAGATGGCTGCCTGGGCTACTGCTGCGCAGCCAGTCTGGGCAGCGCCACAGGGCTGGCAGAAGCAGCAGGGGAATGCTCAGGGCAGCAAGAAACGGGGGAAGAAAGAACAGAAGGAAAAGATTCCTATGTTTCTGTGTGGTCGGTGTGGAAGACCGAACCATATGACAAATGTCTGCAAGGCAACGGTTCATGCTAATGGCCAGGCACTGCCGGGCTCGGGAAACGGGAAGCGAAGCGCGAAGGGGAGACGCGCTCAGACACAAGCTTCTCTCCAGACCCTGGAGCCGATGGAGGTTTGCTCAGTCGGCTTGCAGCCAGCACCCGCGGCTCAGCGGGTGTAGACGTCTGCACAGCAGCAACGGTTGTGTTAGAATCTTGTGAAGTACACAAGGTTCCCCTAGATGCCTTTGGTCCCTTGGGTGGGGGCATGAGTGCTCTCTTGATGGGGAGGTCTAGTGCCACCCTTCAGGGCATCGTTGTGCATCTGGGGCTCATTGATGCAGACTTTACAGGGCAGATTTGTGCCATGGTTTCCACACCCACCCCCCCGGTCACGATCCCGAAAGGGACACGACTTGCTCAACTTGTGCCCTTTAAGTCCTCTGTTCGCAGGGCAGCGGACCGGTCGCGTGGAGCTAGCGGTTTCGGATCCACTGGGCCGCCTCAAGTGCACTGGACTGCTGTTCTGACCAAGGAACGTCCTGAGATGATGTGTGCCCTGTCCATTCCTGGTGTGACGCCGTCGGAGACTCGCCTTCGCGGGCTTCTTGACAGCGGCGCTGACATCACGATTCTCTCTCTTGCTGCCTGGCCTCCGGACTGGCCCCTGGATCCGGTGGAGACGCCTGTCAGGGGGCTGGGGGGAACGGCGCAGTGTTACGTGAGCCAGCAGTCCGTGCTGGTCACGAACCCAGAGGGACAGACGGCCTGGATCAGGCCGCATGTTACTTCTACTCCTGTTAACCTCTGGGGGAGGGATGTTCTGTCAGCGTGGGGGGTGCGCATCGGGACGGGTTTTTGATGGGGGCCACTGCGATGAAGGGCGCGGACTGTCCTACGCCTCCTATACGGTGGTTGGTGGACAAACCTGTTTGGGAGAACCAGTGGCCCCTCCCTCGAGATAAATTGGTCGCCCTTCGGAATCTGGTGCAGGAGCAGTTGGACCAGGGCCATTTGGAGCCCTCCACCAGTCCCTGGAACACTCCTGTCTTTTGCATCAAGAAGAAATCTGGGAAATGGAGGTTGTTGCAAGACCTCCGAAAGGTCAATGCCGTGATGGAAGGCATGGGAACATTGCAGGCGGGCAAGCCATCGCCTACCAGGCTCCCTGCCGATTGGCCAGTCCGCATTGTTTATCTGAAGGATTGTTTCTGAGAATTCAGCCTCAGTTGCTCGATGCTTTAAATGCACATGGACTGCAGGTGGCTCCAGAAAAGGTCCAGCAACAACCACCTTGGAAGTATTTGGGGGTCAAAATTCTGGAACAGACAATCTGTCACCAGGAGGTGCAATTCGTGCATCCTGTGAAGACACTGAATGATGCCCAAAAATTGGTAGGTGTCATCACTTGGTTACGTCCATACCTGGGGCTAACCGATGCACAACTGTCTCCATTGTATGATCTACTAAAAGGAGACTCTGATCTAAAGTCGCCTCGTTCATTGACCCCTGAGGCACGTCAGGTGCTGGAGGTGGTTCAGCAGGCCGTTTCGGCTTGGCAAGTTTACCGCATTGATCCCTCCATTGATGTCACTGTGTTCATCACCGCTCCAGATTCGCATCCCACAGGTATCATTGGCCAATGGAGTGACAAATGGTCCGATTCCTTGCACGTTTTGGAATGGGTTTTCCTGCCCCATCAGCCGCAAAAGACGGCAACCCCATTGTCTGAGCTTTTTGCTCGTTTGATAATCAAATGCCGGCAACGGTGCTTGCAATTGATGGGTGCGGATCCCGCAAAGATCATACTCCCAGTACAGCGGGAGGATTTTGACTGGAGCTTTGCAAACAGTGTGTCCCTGCAGAGTGCTCTGGAAAACTTTTCAGGGCAGATCACTTATCATCTGCCCAGCCATAGGCTGTTGCATATGGCGAAGTCCACACAAATCTCTTTGCGGCCCAAAAATAGTCAGGAACCTGTGCAAGGACCCACCGTCTTTACCGACGGTTCAGGGAGGACAGGAAAGGCCATTGTTACCTGGAGGGACGGATCTGAGTGGCAGGTTCTGGAAGGACATGAGGGTGGGTCAGCCCAATTGGTTGAATTGAAGGCTGCTGTCATGGCATTTGAGAAATTTTCCCAGGAACCTTTCAACTTGGTCACGGATTCTGCCTATGTGGCCGACATTGCACAGCGGTTGGGTCAGTCGGTCTTGAAAGAGGTCAGTAACCCGGCCTTGTTTCATTTGCTGAAGGCCTTGTGGTGTGCCATTCAGGCTCGGGTTCATCCTTTCTACGTTCTGCATGTAAGGAGTCACACCAATTTGCCAGGCTTTATAGTGGAAGGTAACGCGAGGGCTGACAAGTTAGCTAACCCAGCGTGGGTAGCCCCTCAGCCTGATACACTCGCGCAGGCCAAGGCATCTCATGGGTTTTTCCACCAGAACGCACATACTCTGCAGAAGCAGTTTCAGCTGACGCCAACAGAGGCTCGTGACATTGTTGAGTCATGTGATGACTGCCATGCACTGGCTCCACCTTTACCAGCAGGGGTAAACCCCAGGGGCCTTAGGGCCTTGGAGCTTTGGCAGACCGATGTCACCCAGATTGCCGAGTTTGGCCGGCTCAAGTATGTGCATGTCACGGTGGACACATTCTCCTCTGCAATGTGGGCTTCCGCTCACACCGGAGAAAAGGCCCGTGATGTCCTTGCCCACTGGAGGCAGGCCTTTGCCGTTCTGGGCATACCTTCTGCTGTGAAGACCGACAATGGTCCTGCTTACGCATCGCAAAAGGTGCGGCAGTTCCTGCAGTTGTGGGGTGTGTCACACAAGTTTGGTATCCCTCATTCTCCGTCTGGCCAAGCTATTGTAGAACGTGCTCATGGTACTCTGAAGCGGGTTCTTCAAAAACAAAAACGGGGAATGCAGGGTGAAACCCCGCACAGTCGGTTGGCAAAGGCATTGTACACCATCAATCATCTTACGGTGCCGCAGAACTCAAATAACCCTGTTGTTTTGAATCACCATCTCTCGTTGCAGGCTGCGGACGAAGCACATCAGCCTCGAGCGAAGGTTCGGGTGCGGAATTTAGTCACCAAACAGTGGGAAGGTCCCTATGATCTTATCGCTTCGGGGCGTGGGTATGCTTGTGTATCCACAGATACCGGGGTGCGCTGGGTACCTTCAAAGTGTGTTCGCCCTGACCTGCAACCGCAGAGACAGAATCCGACTGACAGGCAAAACAGAAGCCGTGACCAACCTGAAAGGCGTCAAGTGGGTGAATCATGGAGTGATGATTCGGATGCAGATGATGCGAGTGATCACTCCGATGATTCCTCCATGGATGGATGCTGAATTTTGTTCATGGGTTTTTTCTTTTCACGTTGTTCATTTTTTTCCTTTTCTTTTTAAAACTGAGAAGGG